TATATATATATTTAATATATATTTATTTAATATATAGTTTATTTTATTTTCGTTTTTTTAGTTTATTTAATATATAGTTTATTTTAGTTTACTTAAATAATAGATAATTAAAAAATGTATAAATATTATCAATTTAATTAATTAATTTCATATATATTATTATATATATGATTAATGAAAAATATTAATAATATATTATTAAGAAACAAATATATTAATATTAAAATATATTAATATGTATACTAATTATTAGTTTAAAATATTTTATTTAGGCTGATGAGTAAGTTGCCGAGTTCGAGGGTTCTGGACCCCGACACACATCCACTCGTAATGTAAATGCTTCCGCTCGGCGGGAGAGGGAACGGATGCTCCTTCATGCTCGCAGGGTACAGACTGCCCAGGCAAGTAGTTCGAGACATCATGTTGCTCCGATACAGAGTGGTCAGCAGTCTGACCCAGTCATGCCTCAGTCTGGCCCGCTCATGCCTGGCCCAGTCATGCCTCAGCAGTCCTTGTCAGTGATGCCTAGCAGTTCTGGACGTCTCCCGACTATAAGTATTGTTCATCGGCGGGACTCCATTGAGTCGGCAGTCAGCAGTCCAAGGGATGATGATGATGATGATGATGACGACAACGAGCAGGCCTATGATGATGACGAGCAGACATATGATAATGACGAGCAGGCCTATGATGATGACTTTGATGCAGCTGAGCAGCCACAGACCCAGCCACAGGCACGTCTAGCTAAACGACTCGGCCGAGTTGATCCTCCACGACAGGCTGGGGGTCGTTATACGAGCGTTGCCTCATCCTCAGGTAAATGATTTACGTATTTATTGTTGTTTACCATTAGATATTATTTTATTTAATAATAGCGCACCATTGATACAATCAATCACAGTATGTCGTATATATATTGATTGTTCTATTATAATACAGGGGCGAGCAGCAAACGCACTAAGTGTGACGGCTGGCTTGTTAAAGCCCCAGTACCCGGTGGCCCCTTTGACGGGAGTGTTATCCCTAGTTTTCTAGGGCATGTAGCCTCCCGGATTTGGACTGGACATATTAGAGGCACGTTGAAGTGCCAAAACAGGATGTCAGCGAACGGTGTTTTGAGGGAGTGGCTCGTACAGATGGCTGAGGCTCCGCGAGATCTGATCCGTCCGACCGGGCTGTCACATTTGGCGTCCAGCATGCATGACCACATCGACACTCCACTTATTTCAGCATTTGTTGAGCGCTGGCAGCCGGATACCAACTCGTTTCACCTGCCTTTTAGTGAAATGAGTATCATGTTGCACGACGTGAGGGCGATATTGGGGGTTCCTGTCGTCGGTGCAGTCACAAGGGACCCCGACACCTTGACACAGCAAGCGCACTGCATAGAGCTCCTGGGGGTGGACCAGGCAACGCTGATAGGGATCGTTTTTTGGATTTTGTAACAAACTATTAGAAATTGTTTTTTTTTATTTGAAAAATTCTCCCATTATATCACGTGAAGCGGTAGACACGACGAGATATCACAATCTATCACTCGTAACGCATGAAAATAAAATTTAAAAAATAAAAAATAAAAAACGCAGACATAAGTCGAATATCACAATATATCAAATTACAACTGTACTACGAATATCATGCCACAACTGGAACCTGCTCTGGTACTGATACGGCCAATCTTCAACCGAAACATCTCGGTATTTCTCCCAAAAATACCACAAAGGCGGTAATGGAGAATCAGAACACAGATTCACACGAATGAAGTGCGAGTAGGAACCTAGATGACCTATGACGATCTCACAGTCAGGTCGTGTAGCCGTGGATGGTGCGCGGAGCGGGAATACCGTCATACTGGCCATGTCCATATTGTTATCGTTGGGACCATAGCCTAACAACACGACAACTGCAATAAACAGTGTAGCAATAGCAAAGAGGTCGCCCGTAGCATTCATCCAATGCTCCTCGCCACAAGGACCCCCGTCCCATCTTATACGATCGATTGCGACGTCGATCCCATCCCAATAAAATAGAGCGTACAAATGAATGTTGGCTGCAACCTCATTTGCAATATTTCTTCTTGCCACATCCCACTTCTACTGATCCCTATAAATGTAACTCGCAACCACCCGAAATCCGCAGTTCCCGTCCGACGTCACATCCAGATAACTCTGTACGTAGCTGTGAATTACGTAGGGAATCCTACCACGATGTCGGTACTGAAAAAAATCCGTCTTGAAAGTATCTATAATATCAGAATAATTTCACGTCACAATTTAGGTAATTGAATTTACAAACATAATTAGTCATCGTTCAGATAAAAAATAAAATTAAATTACCTGTCGAATCTTGAGACGATGAGATTGTCGGGGCATACGAAGAAGTGCTTGTACGACCCACCGGACGACCTCTTTCCCTGTAGTCCCACATCGACGGAGCACAGGAAGAAGTGCTCTTACGCCCCGGCCGACGACCTGTTTCCGTGTACCCCGATTGCGATGGAGCACACGAAGAAGAGCTTTTACGCCCCGCCGTACGGCTCTTTCACTGTACTCCCATCTCGATAGATCGCGTTTTATTGAATTTTTCTTCTTGGGCCGACCTCTCGGATTTTTCTTCACTGCAGGTTCTGTGTATCCCTGTTGATCAGGGTGAAGTTGAGAGTCGATGAGATGGTTCAAGTATCGTACAGTCGCAGGATCGGCCGCTTCAACCTCCTCGGTAAGCCTCCGCAAATAATCATGATCAGTCCATCCACTCGCCGATACACTCTGCTGACCTGTCCGTATCGAAAATTTAAAGAACTATACAATATGCTCTATCAAAATTTCTATAAACGAAACAATACATGGAGTTAAAAATAAAAAAATTAAACAAAATTTAGGAGAAAAAAAATATTGAGCATGATGTTCCATAGATTAATATTAATCTCGCAATTATACCTGGCTGCGTCACCTCTAGTGTGCTCCAGAAGCTGTGGATGTCGTCGGTCGTAATATTTCTACGTACGGTGTGTGCCTCCCTTAGCTCACAGGCACAAGGAAGTCCATGAGTGTATTTTAGTGCACAATCGCAGTGCTCCAAAACATCTTTGCCGAAGTCTCGCATGTTTCGAAGCTCATCGTTCAATATATTCATACAGTAATGGGAGACCCGCAGTGTCAACTGCTGGAAAGGGAATCCTCTGTAGCCCGTACTCAGCCTAAGTCTCGAAGACTCCAGCGTCTCCCTGGTAATACATTACATAACATTAGACCCAATTAAAATTTATAATTAATGAATTAATAACACAATCCTACTGTATAAATTAAAGAATATACCTGACTTTAGTCACTTGAGAATCAATCTCCTTGTCAATCGTCTCTCAAACTGTGTCGAGCGAACCGGTCGACGTGTTAAGCCACCGCTTCAACGTAGCGTGGGAACTCTCCACCCTACACGACGTTGTGTTGCCAAAATGTAAGACAGTGTCTGTCCACACTTTGACAAACTTCTCCTTGTGCACTAGCCATGTCTGATCCACATATTCCAGCACACGAGGAAACGCCGCGTATGTAACAACCAAATCAGTTACGGCAGTTTTGTATTTGTCCCACGTGTTCGCCTCGACAACCTTCTTCCACTTGCCGTGCGTGAACTTCTGCGTGAAGATCTTATTTTTATTTGTGCTTGTCGACGTTAATCGATAGACCCTGTCTTCCACATCCTTGTTGATGTGCCACGTGCAGAGTAAGTGGGGCGTCGTCGGAAAATTTCTCTGAATAGGAGTAATCAACCCCAACTCCCTGTCACTGACAATGACTGAAGGATGTACATCAGGCCCTATCAGAAGTCTCAACCGATGTAGGACCTAGTCATAGCTGTACTCGGTCTCGTCCGTGATAATTGCATAAGCAATTAAGAAATTCTTGTTGCACGGCGTCATTCCAACCATCTCAACCAACGGCATGTGGTACCTGCGCAAATGAAAGCAGCAAGAGAAAAAAACATAGAATCAAAAAATTTACTCAAACATATTATTTTAAGATTCACATTATATTGCTATTTATAACGTAATGTAACATACATGTTGGTTTTGTACGTGGAATCTAT